TTTCAATGTATATTTCTCTGACGAATGCTTTTTTTTCTTAAACGGAACGGTAAATAGTCACAACTGACAACTGTCGCTATTCGGCTAATTCAAATCCCAGAAAACATATTTCGTGAGGTGCATACGCAACATCCCGAGAAATTGAGTGTCTGGTCTAGTATATTTGGTAACCGTATAATAGGCCCCTTCTTTACCTAATAAATTTAACAGGAGAAATGTACCTAGAGTGATTAGAAGATGCGATTCATCCAGAATTGGTGGAGATACTAGAGAATAATGACGGATACATGGAAAACCGTCTAATATTCCAACAAGATGGTGCGCTACCCCACTATACTGCAGTGGTTCGTCAATATTTGGACCAAACGTTTCCAGGACAATGGATTCGAAGGAGAGGAGCTATTGAGTGGCCCCCACGTTCTCCAGATTTAAGCCCGTTAGATTTTTTCTTCTGTGGTCATTTTCAGCATTTACTTGATTGATTTTGTTTTTGAAGCATTTAGTTGAATACAAAATATCCCAACATGTTTTTGTAGCTTTAATTAGCCTCTGTAATGGCTAGGTAGATAGTAGCGATGTAACACTCGGGGGTTATAATCTACATAAAAATAGCTTCAAAATAAGGTATCACTCGACCCCTCATTCCATTTAAAATTTTGAGGGCCCTTGTCACCCGCGCTAGGGCTTCCCCAAGGGGTGAAAATGCCAAAAAAATGGTTCCCCCTTAAATCAAAAATCGACGGGTACGAGGGTTTTTTCTTAAATGTCTTGGAGAGCCCAAAAGTCCCTCTGTTTCGTTTTCAATTGGCCACCCTGTATAAACATCAAGCGTTAGAAAAAAAGTTGAAGTTTTTCTCAGGTATCGGTAAATTGGCCGTCTACCCAACTTAGCGGATATACAGGGTGTCCGAATTTGGATGGTTTTAATAGGAAACATCAATTTCTGAGCAAGATACAAAAAAATGAACCCCCCACTCCGAGGCTCAAATTTCTTGAAATTTTGATTGGTGCAAACTGCATTTTGATATCTTCAACCGTTTAGCCGTTAGAGGGCGATTCTCGATTTTGAGCAATAATGTGAAACCATCATAACTTTTTTGTTTATGAAAATTATTGATTTCCGTAAAAACTTTCTAGAAGCATTTTTTAAAGCAGAATTCAGTGACGTTCTCAGTTTTTTTCTAGTTGGTCCCAACTCCGAGATATTGACCAAAGTCTGGTTTTTTTCAATAGATGAACACTCTATATATTAATAGCTCATTAGAAAGCTCGGCTTTTTCTGATTTCAATGATAAAAGTTCGATAGGTTTATCTCTAATAGTTTTCGAGAACAAAAATTATTTCGGTTTTTGTCATAAGAAGCAATGTGTAAGAAAAGGACTTTATATCTGTAAGGAAACTGAGAAAGGTCTCTTTCTAACTCATTGTTTCTTAAGACAAAAGCCGAAATATTTTTTTTCTCGAAAACTGTTAGAGATAAACCTATCGAAATTTGGATCATTGAAATCAGCAAAAGCAGAGCTTTCTAATGAACTATTAATACATAGGGTGTCCCATTGAAAAAAATCGTATTTTGGTCAATATCTTGAAATCGAGGCCGAATAGAAAAAAACTGAAAACGTCACTGAATTCTGCTTGAAAAAGTGCTTCTAGGAAGTTTTTACGGAAATCAGTTATTTTCATAAACAAAAAAGTTATGAAGATTTCACAATTTTGCCCAAAATCGAGAATCGCCCTCTAGCGGCTTAACGGTTGAAGATATCAAAATGCGGTTTGCACCAATCAAAATTTCAAGTAATTTGAGCCTCGGAGTGGGGGGTTCATTTTTTGGTATCTCGCTCAGAAATTGACGTTTCCTATTAAAACCATCCAAATTCGGACACCCTGTACATACGTTCATAGTACCAGTACATATAAGTGCTACACAATCCCACATATTCTCTCCTTTAGAAAATAAGTTGTGTCTGGCGGCTCTGGACTCTTGGACTAGAAGATTTACTTGTGATAGACGCACTATCAAGAAGATTTACTTGTGTTGTGAATTTTACCAGTATGTAACTCGCCAGCCGTGTGATTTTCAGTTTGTGATTTTTAGGAATTCGAAAATATAGTACCACGTGCTATTTGGTATTGTGTCGGTTATTTCAATCTTATTTTCTGATATTTGGTATCAAGAGGACCGATTGATTGATTGATTTGATATACAGCACCAAGGCAAGGTTTAGTGATTCCCTGACACTACAGCTAGTTAATGTATCCATTGCTGTGTAAGTTTCTGCTAAAATAGATTTGACAGCTTCGCCAGGTGCAGTAGTCTCTTTATTGGCGTCTTCAGGGGACCCTCATCCAGGTACGTGTTGGGCACTCGGATAAAATGTGAGAGGCTGATTCTTTGTCCTCGTCGCACAGTCTACAGATGGGTTCATCTTGGTAGATAGTGTAGATACCCATCTTGTTTAACTGTTTTCTCAGTGTACAGTGACCGGTTAAGAATTCTATCATAATTCTGATTTGATTCCTCGTGAGCTCTAGGATCTCAGAGGCTAATCTTGCCGTAGGATATTTTATCATTACCTACCTTACTGTGGTGTTGCCTCGGTGTTTGATACCAGTAGTTCTTTTCGGATCCACTTATCTAAGCAACTGTATCGGAGGTTGTCGATATTCCGAATACGGGTTTGACTTATAAACTGCCTTTCTGATCCCTGCTTGGCTACGGAGCGCGCGTTTTCATTGCCGGAAACGCCCATGTATGCCCGGCCAGTAACGCAATAGTTACGACAATAAGTTTGAGTTTATCTGTTGTGTTGGCATGCTAGAGCTTCAATAACTGCTTGGTTTTCTGAGATCGTGATATCTTTGGTGTACATACCACCCTCTCAGATTTTCCCGCAGGCATATCTCTATTACATGACATGTATTTCGGCTTGGAATACGGTGGTATGCTTCCCAGTGGAGAAAGCCATTTTGCTCTTGTGGATAAGCCATATACTCCGGCACCGGTTCTATTATCGGTTTTGGAGCCATCAGTGTGAGTTTTCTGTTTTGTTTCTGTAGGCCCCCATTCTTCACTCAGCTTTGATAATGTTATCAAGTGGCGGGAGGTTTAGTATGGTTTCCTTAGCAGTACCTAGTTAGAGTCAAGAAGATTACATAATCAGGACACAGAATCACGTATTAAAAGTCACTCTTGAGAAAATCCAGATGATAATATACATTAGAAGTCAGAAGTCAAAAGAGCCACTGGCTAAGACAGCAGTCTCTGATAAAATGATCAAACACATTGTTCAATGCGGAAATATAGGCAAGTGATATACAGGTGCATCTACTGTATCTCACTGGCAACCGTATAACTTACAAACCATTTCGGATAGGGGATTGAACCATCATAGATCTTTGTAGTCCGGATAAGTTGAGTACCTATCTGAAAAGGGCGAAAAGGCTCATAGATAACTCGGGAAAGGTAGTTGTCTCCAAAATCTCAAACTAACAAAAAAAAATATATATTTTGGTATACTGGCTTCTTTTGCACTGACGAGAACTGATAAGCTCGAAACAGGTCTGTGAAGTATCCAATTAAATGGTAACTAATCACAATTATTATCCGTACTGAACAGTGTTTAGGAGCGATACAACCTCATGAGGTTCGATTAACACACTTAAGGGTTGTAAGTAGGCTGCGACTTCTCCTTCCTCCTCGAAAATAACTGAATATTATAAGAATTCTCTGAGCCTGTCTAGTATTATGCGCCACCTTGCTAATACCATAATCCATATTCCTCTGGTTTTCCGGAAATACTTACCTACAGTTGTTCTTGAAATCTTAAGGCTGGTATAATTTAATTGATCAGCATATTATCCATTTAAATTTTCATGGAATTGAAGGGACCAAGAAGAGATAAATCGGAGCATACAACGCATCAAGGACTTTGAAAAATGAAGAAATGTTAGAGGAACTAAATTACGACCTCGATAGAATAAATTGAGACATAGTAGGACTGGCCGAAGTCAGAAGAAAAGAAGAATGTCTAAGACTTAAATCAAATCACGTTTTATTCTACAAAGGTGACGATAAAATCAATAATGGAGGAGTTGGAATCCTGATACAAGTCATACAAGTTTACGCACCAACAACCGACCACAAGGACCAAGAGGTAAAGGAACTTCATGAAGAGGTAACAAAAACAGTGTCTTCACGACAACAAAACAAAGTTCACACCACTTATGGGAGATTTAAATGCAAAAATAGACACCAAAAATGACACCGACTGACTCATGTTACATTGGCGAATTCGGACTTAGTACAAGAAATGAAAGAGGCAACATGCTAATCGACTTCTTAGAAAGAGAGCAACTCTTTGCGATGAACACATTCTTCAAAAAGAGACGTAACAAAAAATAGCCATGGGCAAACCCGGATGAAAAGACAAAAAACGAAATAGGCTTTATACTGACACATCAAAAACACATAATCCAAGATGTAGAAGTCTTAAGCTCATTCACGACTGGCAGCGCTCATAGAATGGTAAGATGTGAAATAGCCATAAATAGCAGGCTAAAGAGAGTAAAGAAATTCAACCGCCCCCAAAAGAAATTAAGCACACATGCCAGTAAACCGCAAAAAAACAGAATTCGCAACAAAATTAACACAAAAACTGGAGAAAGACCCCATCAAGCCCAAGCCCCACGAAGACAAAAATCAAATTAATAAAAGAATAATGAAAATAATAAAAGAAGCAGCAAAATATAACATTAAATCGAAGGGTATGCAACAAAAGTTTAGCAAAAAAAACAACATGTGCTCGAGAAGAGAGAGAAACAAGGAAAAAAAGATACACGAGAGTAATTTACCTAACACGTCCATTAGCTTGCAGGTGGATTAGATGCTATTTCTATTAATCCACCTGCAATCCAATTGAATTCTAATGCACGGGCTACAACAATCACTGTGTATATCTTGCAAGTATGTAGAAATTACCTTTGATAAAACTAAAAACACATTAACTTACTTACATATAGGTAATTTTATTTTCATAAAAACTTTTTTAGGAGCATAGTACAACACAATGTAATTTAATTAAAATATTATAATATATGTGTTTCTCACACATAAAACAATAAATTTTCTTTGCAGCTATACTCTATCTTCTATAGCTGTATCGATTATTATCGGGCACATATCTATCCCTGTAAGGCCCCGGACGTCTCTGATCCTGTTGCTGATTCGGATTCCCGCTGCCGAATCGGTTATCTTGTTGCCGATACTGATTGTTGGAATTATTGTAGTTACTGTTGTAGCCTCCTCTACCTCTACCATTGCCCTGATACCCGCCAGAATTTCCCCTGTAATTGCCTTGATTTTGGTAGTTGCGTTGCTGATTGTAACCTGGAACAAAGTGGGACTTAAATTGAGCTAATGCTATATTTATTTGGTCCGAGAAGAGGGTGGAGAAGCTTAAGTATGACTTCGCCAACATCATCGTGGACTCAATAAACATCGAATTCAAAACCGATTTAATTGCAAACGGGGTGCGGATTGATTGGGGAGCGTGGCGCGTGCGGAGCCCCATTCAACCAGGACACGTGACTTTCCGCTTTAATAAAACAAACAATCAATGGTTTATTATCAAAAATATAAGCTGTTATTAAATTTTAAAATATTTAAATTCTCAATACAGTATACTTTAACTTCCATAGTCATATTATGTCATTGAAAAAAAGTTTCTTTATTAGCTTGTCTAAATTCGCATTTCACTGAGTGGAGTTTGGTAAACTATCTAGCTCTGGACAACAAAAGGAGTCCCTTTTGCAGTAACACGAAGGTCCAGTCAACGTGACACGAACAATCCACTTGTGTGCAAATTGGATCCCAAAATATTCGTGCGATGTGGCCCCGAGGAATGCCTCCGGGTCCATTGTCCGGTACAAGATTGAAGTTGTTCTGTGGCTTTGACAGAGGCGAATTTTAACGCTTGATATAAGAAAGTAGAGAATTCACAGGTTTCTTAACGGGGACGTATCCCTTAGGGGGTTTTATATAACATGGTATTGAAAGTCCCACTTGAATTTTTACAATTTTTCAAATACAATCATCGATAACTGTAAACCAGGACAATCAAATCAAATCAAAATATGCTTTATTGTAAAACACATCTTATGTACAGTGGAAATCATTGCAATTGGCACACACTATGTAAATATCCCTCGTAATGTGTCAAATCTGACACACAGTAATAGCAAAATGCTGCACTAAATAGATTTATTGGTTAGAATTTTGACCTAATACGGGGGATTTTAAAGAGTGTGTGCCAATTGCAATGATTCCGACAGTACAAAGCAGCCACCCAGGCAATATAAAGTAATCAGAATAAAAATATATAAAAAAAAATAAAATAAAATATAACAGGTATTAAAATAAAAAGCAAAATAAATGCGAGAATAAATGCCAAAAATTGAAATACCTGATGTACAATTAAAATAACATACAGACGTAAAAATACAAATAAAAGTAAAAACAAAAATACAATTAAAATATAAGTCAACGTATAAAGGATTTATAAATTAAATCATTACAATAAAAATTCAAAAATAAAAACATTACAATAAAATAGCCAAGACTAGGCGAGGTGAAACAACAATCAAAATACGTAAAACCTTAGGTCACATCATTAAAGAACTCGTTCAAACTATAGTATGCTTTACCCGTCAGAAATTTCTTTACTTCTATACGAAGCCTCTTTTCAGTGTTGAGCTTTCTGATCTTTAAAGGAAGTTTATTAAATAATTTTCTGCCTTCATATATTATGATAGAGGTATGGATGAGTTCTGGTGGGGGATTGGCAATCTCATCACGTTATCCTGGCGCGTATTGTATTGACCCCTTAGCTCCAATTCGCACTTATACTTCCTGAAGACTAAACAGGCCGTTTCCAGAATAAACAGACAATAGAGAGTTAGAATACCATGGCTCAGAAACAGAGGGCGACACGAATCCCGAGGTTTGGCTCCACACAAGTATCTGATGGCCCTTTTCTGAAGTTAGAACACTGAATTAAAAAGATAATCAGAACAAGAGCCACAGAAGCAGGTTCCGTATCGAAGATGGGACTCAATAATCGCGAAATACGCACATTTGGCAATGGAGAAATTTAGGTTATTAGCAATAACTCTGAGGGCATAGCAACCAGACGAATCAGAATCAGAAAAAGCTTTATTATCAAAGATAGAAATCTTATTGACAAAGCAGTCTTATATCTACATAATCAAACAAAATAAAATTAAAAGTAAAGTATTACTAATTTACACTAAATATGTGAGTCGCATTCATAAGGTATGTAAAATTAAAAATTAAATATAAATACACAAAAATACAACTATAAACAAAATAAGATAAAATAAAATAAAATAAAACATCAACATCATTACATATAAACTAACAATCGACATTCAACTAGCTGCGTAAAACTCTTCTAAAGTGTAAAAACAATTCTCCAAAAGATAGTCTTTCACGTTTTTTCGGAAGGCATTAAAATTATCAAGTTCTCTCAATTGTAAAGGTAGATTATTGAATATTTTACGGCTCTCATATATTAAGGATTTTTTTATCATTGTTGAAGAGGGTATCGGAAGATGGACAACCTGTGTCTGTCTAGTTCTATAGTTATGCTGGAAATTGTAGTTATCCCTATATCTATTTTTGAATATCAAACAAACTGATTCCAATATATACAGAGATGTTAGGGTAAGCACTCTGTAGTCCCTGAAATAAGGCCTGCAAGAATCATTCCGTCTTAGCTGAAACATTGATCTGATAGCTCTTTTCTGGAAGCGGAAGACGGGCTGAAACAGGCCATCACCGCACGCACCCCAGAATGCTATCCCATAGCGTAGATGAGACTCTACCAGGGCATAATAAACATCCCTCGCCACCCCCACGCCAAGCTCCCTCCGGACAACCCTAACGGCAAAGCATCCTGACGCTACCTTTTTTTTCAGTTGACTTGTATGTGCTTCAAAGTTCAGTTTTTCATCGATGAAAATTCCCAAAAATTTGGTGTGTTTTTCCTGCTGTAATGGATTATTGGCAAGCATTAACCCTTCCATCGTACATTTGAATCCTATGATTTTACTTTTATCTATGTTAAGAGCAAGCTTGTTTGCATCAAACCAGCGCTTTATAAGATCAAGTCCAGACAATACTATCCCCCTAAGATTCCCAACATTATGACAGTGCCACAGACAGGTGACATCGTCAGCAAAAACAGACATCTCTGCATTTACATTAATTTGACATAAATCATTCACATATATGAGGAACAGTAGAGGGTCAAGCACTGATCCCTGAGCAATGCCACAGGTAATATCTCCGGACCGGGAGTACTGACCGTCCAGAAAGACTCTCTGAGATCTGCCCTGAAGGAAGGACATTATCCACTCCAGAGCCTGTCCCCTGAAGCCATAGCATTGAAGCTTCAGCCGCAAGATTCTGTGACTAACGCAGTCAAACGCCTTGGATAAGTTACAGAAAACTGCGGCTGCCGCCTCTCCACTATTTAGGGACGTGTAAGCGCTTTCAAGGAACCCAAAAATTGCATCATTGGTGCCCTTCCCCTCCTGAAAGCCAAATTGGTTTGGGCTGAGGATATTATTCTCCACTAAGAAGGCCATAATTCTTTTCTTTGCGAGTTTTTCAATGATCTTTGATAATGTGGAGAGCAGTGAAATGGGTCTGTAATTGGATTCCTTATTTGTTTCGCCACCTTTGTGGACTGGAATGACCTTTGCCCTCTTGACCTCGGATGGAAACAATCCTGATTCCCAGGAGAAACTCATGGCATCCGCCAGACACTGAAGTACAGGCCGCGGCAGAGCAAGAAATATTTTTGCAGAGATTCCATCCTCTCCGCATGAATTTTGATTTTTAATGTCTCTAATACATGCCAAAACCTCATCTATATTTGTTGCTAAAAATGAAAAGTTATTCTGAATATTGATATGATTCATGTACGCAAGTGGACATTCGTCTGTATTTAGGTGTTTAGTTATTTTATCAGCGATGGTGCAGTAGTAGGTGTTCAAGTCGTTCTTATCAATTTCAGTCAGTTCGTCAAATTTTTTATTTTTTTTACACTGTCTAAGGTCATTAATAATTAACCAGCTTTCTTTCTGTTTATTACCCGAATTTGATAGCCTCTCCGCATAATATGATTCTTTAGCCTTTTGTATTAACTTTCTATAAATTGACCTATACTTTGAAAAATAATCCAAAAAAGCTTGGTTGTTAAAGCAAAATTTTCTAATATAGTGCAGTGAACGGAGGTTTTTTGAGGAAATTCGCAGCCCACAAGTTATCCATCTTTTCTTATGTCTCCGCTCTTTTAAAAACTTCACAGGAAAGCATGTCTCAAAAATTTCCCTCATTTTGAGATAAAAGACACTTAGCGGGTCATTAGTTTGCCAAACTACGTTCCAATTCGTTAGAACTGCTCTTCCGTGAAACCTTTCGAAGTTCTCCGTGCTAAAAATTCTACCGCTCCTTTTTTGCGTTTTCTTAATGTTTCTTTTAATATAAATTTTCAACGTGACCGCTTGGTGATCCGATAAGGATGAGCTTAACACTCTACAAGATGTTTTGGGATCCACAAAATTAGTGCAAACGTAGTCAATTGTTTTTTGAGAGATTTCGGTTATACGCGTTGGATTGTTAACATGCACTGACAAGTCAAAACACTTTAAGAGGTCAACTAATTCTGTCAGATACAAGAAATATTACTAAAATCAATATTAAGGTCACCTGCAATAATTATTTTGCGTTTTACGTTTATCAATGACAGAAGGGTTTCCAATTTCTCCAAAAATTGTTGCACATAAGCTTGGATTGGAGACCTATATATACATAATATAATTAGATTCTGCCTTTGGGAAGATATAGCGCAAAATTCAAAAATCTGTTCAACCATGAGATAATCGAAATCATTAACTACAAAGAAATTTTGTTGCTTACTTTTGCAATGTGGTTTTTAAACTTAAGGGACCTGTCTATTGACAAACCTAGGAATTTATTAAACGTTAGCGTAGTGATGGGTACATTTTCCAAGTAGATATCCTCATTAGAACATTTAAAGTTGAGAATTTTGGTCTTAGATGTATTGAATGTCACAGAATTGGCGTCGCACCAGCACTTTATTTCAAGTAGATTCGTCCTCATATTGGCCTCCATTCTACCAACATCAGAATCATGCCAGAGGAAAGTGGTATCGTCTGCAAAGATTGTGAATCTACCCGTTATCTGGAGATGTGGTAGATCATTCACATAAATGAGGAAAAGCAGAGGACCAAGTACCGAGCCCTGTGGGACGCCCACACTAATATCAAGTTCCTTAGAGG